AGAGAGAGAGAGAGAGAGAGAGAGAGAGAGAGAGAGAGAGAGAGAGAGAACAGTGTATGGCTTATTTATTGTCCTATCAAGAATGCAATTCTTTTTCAAAATACAGTTTTGTGGCTTGTTATTCATTCCAGATGAAATTAATAGTTCTGCTTTCAAAGCTTTTGAGTGATTTAACTTAAATCAAGCATTCTATGTAATAAAGAGATTGATTGTACTCAAGATGCTCTGATGTTCAGTGGTGTGCAATATTTTTCTTGTAATTCTTCAAGTATTTAAAAGAGAAGCTGATTTTCACTTATTGGATAAAGATGACTGAATATTGGCATTGAAATTAGGGAAAAAGAACAACTAAAACCATATTTGAAGGATGGAACATGTACTGTTCTACTTATCACAGGGACTTTTTTTTAAAAAAAATCCTAATTCTACCAGGAAAATTTTTCTACCGTTAATAGGAGCTCCTATAAAATTCTGAATTGACCATCAGCTGTACAATATATTTTTTCCCTACTATTTATTCTCCTTCCTGCTGTGCTGAAGGCAACTGTTAAGAACCATTGCTGTCACTTTGTTTAACTGCTACCACAAAGGTAGGGCTAAGTTTTCAAGGACAAATGTAGCAAAAGTATCATGATCCAACATGAGGTCCCCCAGCACGCAGAGAGCAGCAGATCCCTTTCAACACCAGCTGTTCTCACAGATATAGATTGCTGCAGTGAAATTTTCTTCATATAATTCAGGAAGCTCTAGAGAATTCTCCAAAACAACTGTGCCAACAAGGAAAATGTTGAATTTTTCATCAGCTTCCCAGTACAGAGTGTTAGTGGGCAATCCATTCATTCATGACCAGATGTTCAGTGCAGTAACACTCTGCAGTTAACGTGAACCTTGTGGCCTGTTTTACATTGGTTTGCAAGGACATTAGCAGCAACCTAACATTGGAGAATTGTGGCCTGAAAAAGCGAGAGGCTGAAGTGTGTGCTTGTGGCTTCCTGGTTGGTTTTCACCAGCAACCAGACAAGGTAGGAAGTGATGAAAGAAATAAACAACACAGCACAGTTATTAGAGAAGCACTGGAGAAAACACGGTTTCTAAATTACTAAATTATAGTTTTCAAAGAACTACAGGGATTTTCCCCTAGTTCTTTATGATTCAGAAGGAGAAATTATTATTGCTAAATGTTTAGTTTGACATGCTTTAATCTGGTTATGTAAACTGTAAATTAAAGAAAAAAGTGCTTGGAAGCCTGTAGCTGTTAATGTGTCAAGGCTATACTTGAGCATATGTAAT